GGCGGCGGGGGGGGGCGAGTCGCCACGGCGGCGCGCCGTGGCCGGCCATGGCGCTGGGGACCTGGAGCACCAGGTGCTGCAGGACACCCGCAACCGCACCATCCGCGCCGTGTGCGGGCAGCGGGCCATGCCCCGCAGCGTGTGGGACCTGACGCCTGGCCAGCGCAGGACCGTCCTCAAGCACCTGCTGGTCAGCGACAAGTACCGCTTCCTTTACTGCTACGTGCCCAAGGTGGCCTGCTCCAACTGGAAGCGCATCCTCAAGGTGCTCGGCGGCGCCCTGGAGAGCGTCGACGTCAAGCTCAAGATGGACCACAAGAGTGACCTGGTATTCCTAGGTGACATGAAGCCCGATGAGATACGCTACCGGCTGAAGAACTACTATAAGTTCCTCTTTGTACGAAACCCCATGGAGCGGCTCCTGTCGGCCTACCGGAATAAATTCGGAGAAATCAAGGAGTATCAGCTCAAGTACGGCGTGGAGATAGTGAAGCGGTACCGGAAGAATGGGGCGCAGTCCACAGGTGACGATGTGACCTTCTCCGAGTTCCTGCGCTACCTGCTGGATGAGGAGGTCGAGCGCATGAACGAGCACTGGATGCCCATCTACAATCTGTGCCAGCCCTGTGCCGTGCGCTACGATTTCATCGGCTCCTACGAGAGGCTAAATGCGGACGCCAACTATGTGCTGGAGCAAGTGCGGTCGCCCTCCTTCATCCGCTTCCCAGAAAGACAGTCATGGTACAAGCCCGTGACGACGGAGACACTACACTATTACCTGTGCAATACACAGCGCCGGCTCATAAAAGACCTGCTGCCCAAATACATCCTGGATTTCTCCTTGTTTGCCTACCCTCTTCCAAACATAACCAGTGAGTTCTGCAGGCAGTGAGCTCCAGCCTGCCCCAGATGCCATTTTGCTGGTACGACGAGACATTCAGCAGCGTGGATATTTGTGGTTTCAGGTTCAGAAACTATGTTTAGACACTAGCAGCGAGTCCAACATAAACGGCTTTGTTCCAAGACCTGGTGCAACCATTTCTGCAAATAATGCATTGCTTCAGGGTCATTGAAACACTCTGTTCTATGCATTAGTTCCTAATTTTATACGTCTGAAACTCTTTTTATATTAAACATTATATATTGCCTTTTGTACTAGAATATCTTTTTAATCTTTATACTGTTCCAATTTTAATGTGTACATACGCCGCTGAATTAAGCACAATAGCTTTTGTATATCTATCTTGTTTAAAATTCTTTTTATGGCACACCAAAGGAAACATCCATCAGAAAATCAAGAAACAGCCATATTTTAAGTGCAAAGTTGTTTTTTTTTTTTTCTTCCATTTCTATCTTTCATGCTGGTGGCTGAATGGCAGATAGAACCTAATATAGTGTTTGATATTACTCTAAAGCTTCTCCAAGACAGCTAAAACAGTTCGTAGATCAGACTGCAGGTGGGTTTGGGGGAGGGAATAAAAAAAAGGCTTTGGTAAACTAGGCCCTACTATCCTTTATTTTACTCATCTGTACATGGTGGTTAAATGAGGCTGGTTTTGTTCTGTTACAGTAGTAATACCTTATTATTTTATTTTATTTTATTCAGGATTAAAATAAAAGCAGTGATAAGGCAATAAAAAGACTCTGTCTTATTTTCTGCAATTTGAGATTGGAAAGTACAAATTACTTACCCAGGGAAGTGCATTTTGCGCTGAGTCCTAATGATTTGTTCTGTTTCCCTTTGATGTAAAGCAGTGCAGACTCTTGATAAGGTAAAAACATATTCTAGCCTGTATTACAGAGAGCAGCAAACAAACTAACTTACACATACGTGCTCGCTTGCAGCCTCTGGGAACATCTGTGTACCCATGTCCTGGCAAAACACCTCTGGCCATGCTTGAGAGAACTGAAATTGGATCTTCTGTCATAGATTACCGTGGCTACTTGTATTTAATTATGACCATTTGCATGTATTTAATTAGGACTGTTAACAGTGTAAAAGGTTGGAAGACGCTATGCTGCGTTGTGCCAGGTTGTGCTAGGTCATTGCATGCACCAGCTTCGCTCCATATAGGCAGTTACTGGCTTGAATAAGTGTCCAAGGAGAGGTAACAAGTGGAGAAAGAAACACAAGCAAGGAGAACAGCAAAGCAACCATATGATGCTGGCGGCATGATGAAGAAGAGGTGCCTAAGGCATTAATATTAAGCAGTTAACCATCTGTATCACATTAAGAGATCACATTAAGATATCACATCTGTATCACATGTATCACATTGGCCAAGAAGGCCAATGGGATCCTGGGGTGCATTAAGAAGAGCGCCTCCAGCAGGTCGAGGGAGGTGATCCTGCCCCTCTACTCAGCCCTGGCGAGGCCACATCTGGAGTATTGTGTCCAGTTCTGGGCTCCACAGTACAAGAGGGATGTGGAGCTGCTGGAGAGAGTCTAGCACAGGGCTACAAGGATGATCAGGGGCCTGGAACATCTGCCCTATGAGGAAAGGCTGAGGGAGCTGGGCCTGTTCAGCCTGGAGAAGAGAAGGCTGAGAGGGGATCTAATAAGTCTGTATAGACTTATTAGAGGGCACTATTAGACTTATAGAGGGGATCTAATAAGTCTGTAAGTACCTCAAGGGAGGCAGTGAAGAGAATGGTGCTGGCCTCTTTTCAGTGGTAAGACAGAACTAGAGGTAACTAACAAACTGAAGCATCATAAGTTCCACATGAACTTAAGGAAAAAAAATTTAACAGTGAGGGTGCCAGAGCACTGGAACAGGCTGTCCAGAGAGGTTGTGGAGTCTCCTTCCCTGGAGATCTTCCAAACCTGCTTGGACGCAGTCCTGTGCCATGTGCTCTAGGTGACCCTGCGTGTGCATTGGGGTTGGACTACATGACATCTAGAGGTCCCTTCCAACCTTAAGCATTCTAAGATTCTATGATTTTAAGTCAGGGTTAATAGGCAATGTGGAACGCTCTCTTCCTGGGATCTCTTTAAGGGCAAAGGCAACTTAATTTTCTTTATCATCACAGAAAATTGGCCGTCTCCCAGGTGCTCACTGTGGACCTCCGAGCCCTCCGTAGACAGTGGGTCAGGGGGCCCAACGGGTCTTTGTGCAGCCCCATGGGACCCCTTGTGCATGGGCCTACGAGTCTTCGTGAGGTTGCCCGGGGGGCCTCCGTGTACATGAGGTTGGGCGGACTATATGGGCTTTCATGTGACCCCTGCGGCCTCTGTGTCCACACGGCGGGCGGGGGGGGGGGAGCGG